TTCACATATCTTTACTCCTGAACATTTCAATCGAACTTTTAGCACTGGGGCTCTTAAAAATGCACAATATATATTTTTCCTTGAGACCTCATCTTTAGAGTATTGTACCTGCCAAGTACTTAATCAATATATTCCAATCACTTAACAAGTACCTCTCACGAACCTCATCAAGGATTGTCTTAATACTCTCATTTCCATGTAAAGAGTCTTTTTTCTCAACAATATAGGAATATCCATGGGCGCTTGTCTTAGGATAATCAGGTACGCATGTAGTATATTCAATATAGTCCGAAGCAAGACTATCTGGAGCTCCCTCTGTTAAACGAATTAATGGCACTTGATGCTATAAGTAATTGTAAGTACTTAATTAGTACTAATATACTTTTTTTTTTCTCTCTGAAAACGTACATCAAGATCTTCTGTGTTCAGAGGAGAATTCGGAAATGAAGTCATGGTGTGATAAGTGCCTATAAAGCGCTAGATAAGTGCTATCGGGAAGTTCAAGTTCTGATAAGATAAAAAGGAGGACAAGATTCAATCAAGATACTAGTGGTACTTGAAAGGGCTCGCTAATGTTAGTGGGTCATGTGATTTAGCGGGACTCGGTAAGGGGGCTCCGGGGCCCTCCGAGCGCTAAAGCGGGGCCCTCCGACCTACGACCTCGTGGTACTTGAAAGGGCTCGCTAATGTTAGTGGGTCATGTGATTTAGCGGGACTCGGTAAGGGGGCTCCGGGGCCCTCCGAGCGCTAGCGCGGGGCCCTCCGACCTACGACCTCTCGAACGATGTACCCAGGTTACAGGTCGGGTGGCATCGTTCTAGAGGTGCGGTGCCGCGCTAGTAAGTCACATGACTCATTTAGCGGCTTCCGGCACTTACAATACCATGTTTTAATTACCCGGCATCTGAGTTTTACAGATTCCTGACCATTAGATATCATTATCTATTTGCTGTAGTTTTGCTCGCCGTTCCATAAGTTCCAACTCTTTTTCTTCATTTAGAAGTTGTTTTGCCTGGTTTTGGAGCTGTTTCTCTCGTATTTCTTCCTCTTTATCCTTCAATTGAAGCTCAAACTCACGGAGCTCTAAAGCTTGCCGTTGTTGCTCAATATTCAATATATTCTGCGAGGAGATCCGACGAAGGCTTTGTGAAGTGGATGAGGCAGAACTAGTTTGTAACTGGTTAGTAACTGGTTATCGATTGATTAGAAAATGCGTACCCTGAAACCCGTGATTGGGATCGAAATCTTTGAGGTTGTGGTTCTTGTTGAGAGTCCATTGATAAATGAGCTGAGGATGAGCGACGACGCTTTTGAGATTCTAGGCAATTTCCAAGTCATTAGCAAAGATTGCCATCATAAATGGTGGATATATATATATATTACCTTCCCGTGCCATGTGTCGTAAATAATTAACTTCCATATTTGCTGTTCGATATGAATGGTGAATCCCAAAGCGAGTCCGATTTATATATTGAAGAACATCATGTTTATCAAGTTTTGCAGAACTAGAAATCATTAGCAACCACTCAAGATGTAGTCTTCAACTGGTTGTAAACTAGTTCTCAACTACTTACTTTTGGATTGCTGCTACTAATGTCAATCGCTTTCCTGCTGCATTAGCCTTGTGATGAGATTGTTCAGCTGAATTAGTATGATTCCGAATTGAATCATAGATAGAGGCAGGAATATTAGAGCAGCTTTTATTAAGGCCAGCTTTAATAATTGGTTGCCTCTTATGCTCTGCCCAAGCCTGTACCTTTGGCTCTTCATGAACTAAGGCAGTTAGTGACTGGTTGTTAACTGGTTTGAAACCAGTTGGGGAATACTTACTGATCAATAAATCACACAACTGATCATAATCATCTTCAGACTTGCAGTCAATCAGAGCTGCCATTCGATTCCATATTCCTGACCCTCTATTATTATTCCCCACTGCTTCAGTGATAGTTCGAAAAAAATGAACACGGCAAAAAATAATTATTCCCTTTAATTGCCAGAGTATCGGTCGGCGGAGAGGATCAATTTCTTGAAGGAAGCGCCCAAGGCCTACGCAGTTAGTGAGTACTTTGCAAATGCTTTGTAACTAGTTACCTAGTTACTTACCAGTATACTGTTTAGTATCCATGTCCACAACAATACCATATATTCCAGTGGAATGTATAGAACTAAACTTAATAGCATCTCCAGTGACCTTTTGAATAAGAGAGAATACTCTCTTAAACAGGAGATAATAGCCCTCAGTTGTTTCCTGATTTGTGAAAACTCGGAAAAGGGTGATGACTATTACAACTAGTAAGTAACTAGTTAGCTAGTAATTGATTATTGGATACCTACTTTTTCCATGTTCATGAAGATAAGTTGCAAATACAACTTCATTTATCTCTTTTTCTCGAATTCGTTTGTATGACATGTCAACTTCAAAAGAAGATAATTGACTCAAGAGCTGGATTTGCTCTTTAAAAGCACACAGAATCATTATACCCTCACTATCAAAATACTTCTCTTGAATGTATTCCTATAATGAGTTAGTAACTAGTTTACAACTGGTTCGCAAGCACTTACCCTGATAAATGGATTTGTATTATATATATACAAGACCCCATTGTAGCCCTGACCAGCTGGGTATGACAGCAGTCGTTGTTTCTGTATGATAGCAGAGATGCGATCTAGATTTGAAAAAGATGTGTGTATTTCCGCAGGTGTAGAGGCATTATACTGAGAACAAAAAGCCTCTAGTTCTGGACTTCGCAGAAATTGAGCTATTAACTGGTTAGTAACCAGTTTAATGGTGGTTAAGAATCATTTAACATATACCTCGAGTTAGGCTTGGGTTTCTCATCTGCCTAATTATGTTCTGAACCCCTCTTAGAATAAGCTCTGGTGGCTTATGTGGAGGAGGAGGAGGATGTTTATGGATTCCCTGAGATGTGAAGACAACATAAGGACAATCTTGAGGATCAACTGGTACCAGTGCAGTAAAAGTGACATCACATTTGAGATGTTCTAATCTGCCAGGTCCTTGAATATGGTCAAAATCTAAGTATTTCATAAGTACTACGCAAGCAGTTTCCAAACAGTTAAAAGACCACATACCACAATACTTTCGACGAGATGTTAGTGGCTCAATAACAGCGCACTCTTCCTGAGATGGCAGGATCGAATCATTGAACAACTGCTCTAGGAAGTCAATATCAATTGAAGTATGGCCTTTAACCGAGCTGTAATGATGTTTTTGAAGAAAGTCTGCTGTTCCATGTACACATCCAATATATGGATGGTATTCATTGTTCACGTTCTATATAACTAGTCAGAAACCAATGCTGAACTAATCATGAAGTAGTAATTATCCTTACAGGATAAAAGTGCCTTCTAAATCTTGGTGCACAGGTTGGGAGTTGCTCAAGACATGCATGGCCTTTTTGAAAGAATGTCTTCTTTGACCGATAAAGACTAGAATAAAATCATAATTAGTTAGCAATCAGTTACGTACTAGTTATAAGGCAGTTGAAACATAGCCACCTATATGCATTTCGCTTTCGGATGTCCCTTTCAATCAAATCAATATTCTTTCGAATACTCTGGATTTCCTCCCATGCAGTCTCATCAAGGTAAGTGTGATATAGTGTACGAAGACTTGGCTTTAAATATTCACATATCAAAGCCCCAGAACATTTCCACATCCATTTCTTCACTGAACAGTTTAGAAATGATGACTTGACACTTGCTCTGGCACCACGGATACTTGCGCGGGAGTATTGTATCTTTCAACTAGTTAATAACTAGTTGCCGACTACTTGTTAACCAGTTATAAATGAGTACAAGTACATACATCTTGTATTAGATGTTCTGCTTCTTGTAATCGGCCAACAACAGATACAATATAGGTATACCCATGTATATGTGTTCTTGGGTACTCTGGCAGATCATCTGTATACTCAATAAACAGTGTTTGAAGTGGATTTGATTTTGCATCTGTTAAGTGAGTGAAAGCACTTGGTTGCTAAATAATTTGCAAGTAGTTAGTAAGTACTTGGAAATTAGGATTATTTTGGTAACCGGATTTCTCACCTCTTCAGCAGCATCATCAATATTTGAAATTATGTCCTTGTGACAGCCTGGTCACGTTGGCTGGTTATCACATGAGATGCAGTTGTTTGCTTTGTTGATAAATACGGCGTCACCCCCTTTCTTCCTTCCTCATGTTGATTATTCTCGTCGATAGCTACCTAGGTAGAACCCATGAGTTGGATCTTCGATTATCCTAGTAGAGCGCCGTGACAGTCCTCTTCCTCGCCAGAACTTCTCGAAGAATCTTCTGGATCCATATTGACAGTTGTAAGCAGTTAATAACTGAGTGGTAACTAGTGAAAAGTAGTCTGGGCTTTTTTAAGCTAGAAGAATGAAATATTTACAGAAGGAAATTTAGGATTGAATTTCACTGTTCGTACAATGGTATTTAAAAGGTCAGGTGCCGCGCCGCTTATGCCAAGACTGGTGGGGCCGGCTTCCGGCTTCTCTGAACCGGCACATGACCTGTGTACTCTATGCCAAGACTGGTGGGGCCGGCTTCCGGCTTCTCTGAACCGGCACATGACCTGTGTACTCCGATGTACCGAAATAGAAAATCTCCAAGAAGCTGAGTCAGCCATTTAGAGTCACATGATATATTTGGTCTGAAATGATTCTCCAAAAGCCCTCATGCTTGCGCTGTATGACAAGGAAGCTTTCTGTTTTGTAGCTTGAAGTCCTAATTGTCTTGAAGTTTGTTCCTGCTGGGATGTGAGCAGCAAAAATAATGGTCGGAGAAAAGAGCACGTGACTTCACCTCCGGCTTGGCATCAAATTCATCCCGCAGTTTTCAGCAAAAACTATCTCCGTGCCGGGCCTCTACATCTACCAGTCCGCACCGAATTGACCAAGCCCTTCAGAGGTCCCAGGAACCTCGTCCATTTATTTCCCTTCTCCCAATTGCACCCACGACAGCCCCCCACCCCGCCATCATGATCTGCCAACGCTGCCGTACCGGCATCCTCTCGCGTCTCCAACCGCAACAAACCCTCACATGGACATTAGCTTCCTCCTCCCTCCGCCAAACCCCTCTCCAACACCCTCAATTTCACCAAGCCCGTCCCTATAGCGACAACAAACCCTCCGTTTCCGCAACCCCCCCACCGCCCAAACCCCGCCAGCCTATCGCGGACGACATCTCAATACCCTCCGCCGTGTCCTCGGCCTCGCCCGGCGTTTCGCAACCGCTCAGCACCCCCGGCGCCGTGCATGCAGATGTGCACCCGCAACAGCCGGTGAAGCAGACACCTAAGGTTGTAAGCAGCTGTGCGGCGGGAACGAAGTTAAATGGCTTGAACTACTTTAAGAATAAGCCGGATGTGTTTGCGCGCGAGGATGAGGAGTATCCGGAGTGGTTATGGGGGTTGTTGGAGGGGTTTGAGAGCAAGAAAAAGGCGCAGGATGGGGGTGTTGATCCGAGCAGTACGTCTTCCCCACACTTTTTTTTGTTTGTTTTTATGGTGGCCGAGGAATGGTGCTAATTGGATGAACAGCTTTGAATAAGAAGGGCAGGAAGAAGTTGGAAAAGAAGCTCGCTGCTCAGGCTGCTGCCTTGCCTCCCAAGATCCCCGTCCACCATCAAGCTACTGATATCACCCCCGCGTCCTACAACCGTCCTCAAGCCGGAGATATCTTCACGCAGGCTACTGAGAGTCTCGAGAAACGGACCGAGATCACCAAGAGCGCACGCGAGGCTAGAAGAAAGGAGATTCGGGAGTCTAACTTCCTGCGCGGTCTCTAAGGTGAGGCTAGGTCGTTTATTGCACGATTTTGTGGAGGACTGTGTACAATTGAGTCAATTTAAGACATTGAACTGTATTTTTACGGCAATTTCCTTTCATGCAACGCAGTGTTTTGATGTACATGAAGGCGCTTAAATGGAATACCTTGGGGTTTATTATTCTTTTGAATGATAGAAATGGATTAATTTACAATTGTTTTCCACGGATACTAATAAACACATGCAATAGCCTGGGTATATGACCTGCCTCTCTCAACCAAACCTAGGAAACCTAACCTCACTTCGAAATCTTCCACTTCGTAGTCTGCCCCTGCCCATACAACCACGGTAAACACGCATCCCACAAAGCCTTAATCTCCCCCCGACCAATCCCCATCAACTCCTGCCACAGCTGGTTATCTAACTTCTCCGTCCAAGCCAAGTAAGCCATCAGGATAAAATCCGCATAACTGGCCGTTTCCCCCTCAAAAAATGGCCCTGTCTTCCCATACCTCCCCCTCAGCATCTGCGCCAATGTCTCTACCTCCCTTCTGATACTCTCCGTAGTCACGCGTAGAACGTCCGGATCTGAAGGCCTAAGTTCCGACAGCGGCTTCCCAAACATCGCCGACCGCGTCTTGATGAAGTACTCCCGCCCCTTCTTGTCAAGGATCTTGGGCACCTGGGGGATAACCAGCACCAGCGACTTCAGTACCGCGTTACTGACTAGCTTACCCACGGCCAGGGAAAGCGCGTAGCTGGCGTCGCCGTTGGGCCAGAGGGGGCGCTCGGGATAGAGACGGTCGAGGTGGTGGGCAATTGGGAGGGAGTCCATCATTGCGCCCGTTGTGGCACGGACAGAGGGTGGGTGGTAGATTGCGGGTAGAGTGTAGGCGAAAGGACCTTCAGGGTAGGATGTTACTTGGAGGGAGCGGAGGAGGGGGGTGATTTCGGGGTAGGAGATAAAGGATTGCGTGTAGGGGATGCTTTTGTAGTTGAGGACGAGACGGGTTTTGTTGGTGTTGAAGGACCATGCTTTTGTGTTGTCTGTTTGGTGTTCTATATTAGTACTCCGTGGTGATTCTGTAGGAGGCAGGCGTGGTGAGGGGGAGGGGTACCTGGGAGTTTCGACTCGACGTCGAAGAAATGGACGGGTGTTTCTGCCATTTTGGCGGTTCAGTTGGATAGCAGAGGTGCTGTTTTCTCTATAATGTTATCATTGGAATGTGTGTTGTGCTGGAGGGAGAAAAGTTGAAGTTGCGAAGAACTTTTGTTCGATGGCGGAATGCCGACATCCTTCCCAATGCGGCGGAACGGAAGATAAAGATCTTTACCGATGCGGGTTTGTAGAGATGCGACCTCATTTCTTGAATTACTTTATTATTTTGGATGATTTGGCCAGGTAGTCATATTTTGCTACACTAAGAATCTCTACTATATACTGCGAGGTCAACTCAATACTAGATCATGTCCAATACGACTGCTTGCGCCTGCACAATGCCTGAATCACGGATCATGCAGTGATGACAGTGATTGATCTACCTGACGATATAAGGACCAGCCAGATAGAATGAATCACGCCCAATGCACGCAAATATCTCTGCGACAGGCCCCGTGTACGCCACACGCCGTATGCCATAGACCGACAAAGAGGGCCTGATAACCGACCCGGTCTGCAGTGCTCAGATAAAAAGTCATGTTATACGCGGAAGAAATGCACGGGCAGAACCCCTGGGTGTTGTTGACCACGGGTTCCCTGTATGCTTGTATGCACACCCGGTGATAGATCGAACGACTTCATCGAAGAAGACCGTGGGCGATCAATTGGCGGAAGAAAATTCGGATGCCTGGGCATCCCGTAGTGTCAAACGTCTGGACAAGGGGTCTTACAGATGAGACGAGATCTGTACATGTAGAGGGGCACTGAGATCTTCAACTGGGGTTATTTCGGGGCGAGAGATCCAAAGTTGGATAGATCGAGTACCTTGGTCACAGAGATACTCCTTACAGGGGTCGGTTTGGACCGAGTCATGTCTCGATATACAATTGTGTCCGTCAAAGAGACTGGTTGTAGTAAGTATTCTGTACGGAATATGGAGCAGGAGGTGATGCCCGATACGCGGGCCAGTCATGTGGAGACAACAACTCAACGCCCAGCACCACCTCTCCTGCTACCTGCCTTTTCCATCCTCTTTCCTTCTTCTCACGACTCATCTCTAGCTTCATCATTTTTATCCTTTAAGCATTTGATCTTCATACTCATTTCCACCGGCTCCATCTGCAGATAACAAACTCGCACTACTGCATCTCCGGCCAGCCGGTAACGCATTGATCAACAGAGGGACCGGTCCATACGCCTCTTAAGGTGACAGTTGGTCTCATTCAAGCACAATATTTGCTCGGCCCTATTCGATCAGCAGTTCTCCATTGGAATAGACGGAGAAAGGAAAAAGAAAAGATTCAGATATAAGCAAGATGGCGAAAACCGCCGCTATGAAAGAGGAGGTGCACAAGCTCGTGCAGAAGACTAGTCACCTCGCACTAGGCAACCCCCCTGACCCTGGCACAGAACCAGCTATTCCCCATGCCGCAGAAGGGTACGAGGCTGTGGCAGCATTCTCGCCCACAATGGCGTCGTACCTGGAATTGATCTACAAATCCGTGATGACCTCTGAGACGTGCAGATCAGACTTCCTCCAGAAGGTCCAGAGCGAGTCTTCTGATGGAAAGGAACATGCAGATCCACTTTCATCGTTGGCAGACTTTCAAGCATACATGGCTAGTCCGGCTTCGGCTGCATTGCGACCCCCACAAAAGCAGGATACCTCGGCTCCTATCTCGGACTATTTCATCTCGTCCAGTCATAATACGTACTTGACTGGTAATCAGCTCTACAGCGACGCTGCTGCTAGCGCATATACGAACGTATGTTTGCTTGTCCTCGTACACTCCTGAATAGTGACTTTCTTGCTATCGGAATGGGGTTGGCGGTTGATGGCTGCAGGTCCGGGGATGTGCATTCCTTCCGTCATTGCAGATGCAGTCATGCCACGACAATCACTAACCGGCCACTTGCTAACGTGACATAGGTTCTCCTTGGCGGCTGCCGATGTGTAGAGATTGATGTCTGGGATGGACAAGCTGACTCAGACGACTCAGACACCAGTAGCAGCAGTAGCAGCTCAGACGACGAGAAGCCTCATAAGAAGGAGCAGAAAGAGCGCCGAAAGCAGAAGAGACTGGAAAAAGAAAAGAAGGCAACTAGCCGCCGGTCCCGCATTAATGATGCCGTCTCTTCCAAGCTGGGCGGCATTATGGGCAGCAAATCTGCATCCCAAAACGCATCTACTGTTGCTGATGGCAATGCCCAGGACGGACCGGCTCATATGCCGTTACGGCCGGAGCCTAGAGTACTCCACGGTCACACACTCACCAAGGGGACAACGTTCCGTGATGTCTGCAATGCGATCCGCGACAGTGCCTTTGTTGTCAGCGACTTTCCGGTGATTGTCAGCTTGGAGGTGCATGCCTGTCTCGAACAGCAGGAGATTATGGTGGAGATCATGCAGGAGGCGTGGAAAGGGTTCTTGATCACTATCACTCCGGAAATGCTGAACAGCCCATGCATGCCTACACTGGAAGACTTGAAGCGGAAGATTTTGATCAAGGTGAAGTGGCTGCCAGAGTCGGTCAGTGGTGAGGCGAATGAAGCCGTAGAGGATCTTGAGGAGCTCGAAGGGGTGCAATCACAGAAGTCGCAGGAGGGGTCGACAGCGCCACCACCGAAGCCTTCTAAGATCTTGAATGCTCTGAGTAGACTAGCCGTCTATACCAAGGGATTTAGCTTTAAGCGCTTGGATCAACCAGGTACCTATTCTGCACTACAATGCAATGGACCCAACTAATTACGATACAGAGGCAAAAATACCCGGCCACGTATTCTCCCTCTCCGAAAGCGCCGCCAAAGAAACATCCCAGAACTACCACGATGCTCTATTCGAACACAACCGGAGCAACTTCATGCGCGTCTACCCCTACGGTCTCCGCGTGAACTCCTCCAACCTCGACCCAACCTTCCATTGGCGTCGCGGCGCGCAGATCGTCGCCCTAAACTGGCAAAACCTCGACAAAGGCACCATGCTGAACCACGGCATGTTCAGAGGAGAACCAGGATGGGTGCAGAAACCACAAGGCTACCGAAGCTCGGAAAAACCCTCTACCCCGATCACTCAACGAACTCTGGATCTTTCAATCGAGTTCTTCGCCGGACAGGACCTATCCCTCCCACCCGGCGACACCAAGGAGAAGAGCTTCCATCCGTACGTGACAACCTGCCTGCACATCGAGCAGCCGGGAGAAGAAGCTGGTGCTGCAGGGGATGACGACAGCACGGATACAGAGAAGAATAGCTACAAGCGGACCATCAAGAGCTCTGTCGGGGTGACGCCCGATTTTGGCCCTCAGACGATCGAGTTTCCGCAGGTGGCAGGGATCGTTGAGGAATTGAGTTTCGTCAGGTGAGTACACCAACTCTGCCCTAAGATATTAGACCGAGCTAACAACGAGCAGATTTAAAATCAAGGACAACGAACTCGGCCGCGACTCCATGGCAGCATGGACGTGCATCCGACTAGATCGGCTGCAGAGTGGTTATCGTCTTCTCCACTTCCACGACTGCACTGGGTGGAAATCAGGTGGTGTGGTTTTGGTGAAGATCACCAAGAACATTTCTTAACCTGTTATCTCAATCCTGGAAGCCACGAAATTTGAATTTGTATAGAGCAGGCGGTAGTGCCACAATGAAACGCATATGTACTTGATTTTCTTGGGCTGCTGCAGCCTTGTCTTCTCCCTAGAAACGCAGCCTCAATGAAACGCTCACGCATACTTGGCTTGTGAGACTTTTTACTATCTGATTGGAAGCACTGTCTGCAGCGCGGGCTACTACGAAAATACTTGTTCTTGGAGCATCCCATGGTACACGCAAGAAGACTAGAGAATTCTCAAAAGTCACGTAGAGAAGTTCGATTCTTTCGTAGATCATAACGTGGTAGCCCTTGGAACTGAATCCGCAATCGGTTCCACATTATGCTTTAATATTCCCTCTCTTTAAGTCCATGTCACACCTACACTCAGTAGAATTTTGCCGTGCTGAAATCGATTGTTGTGCTGCCACTAACTTTCCCTTGGCAGATGGTTTCAAATTTAAGCAGCCCTTCTCGAGCGCCAAAGACCACTTTCAGCTCGAATTCAATTCTGTAGACTTTCCCGATTGAGTCATACTTGTAATCAAATAAACCAAGATCGACACCTGTCAAGTCTGTACAAATACTTCCAACACAGCGGACCCCTTCAAGATGAGTGTTAGATGGAGAGCTCGTGATATGGGACCAGGGATACGAACCTGGTTCATCAACTCGTTCTGGATCATGATTCGAATCACATGAATAGAGCTTTTCATAGAATTTCAACCCATAGAAATCCCGATGGTTCCTATAAAACGGAACCATACAGCTGTGGTTATCTGAGTATTTTTCGCCCTTTGCCGAGAAGATAATCATTAGCTCGTTATTCTCTGCACGAAACAGATACATTGTTAAAGTGCAACAGACCTTCGCAATTATCCATTCCATGATACCTGAAACCATTTTTTTGCCGCTAAATGAGTCAATATAAGAATCATGCTCACTGTCAATGCCCTCGCGGAATGGAATCCCGATTACAGTTCCATAATGCCGGCGACATTTCTTCGCCGTCGACCGTAAGCCCTGGAGACCACGGAGGGCAGCACCCTGAACAATAGCGGCTTGCCTGGATTGCTCAGGATGTCAGCATAGGCTCCACCATTTAAAGAGGCGGATGGAAATGAGCTTTTACGCACGGATTGTCGGGCACGGTGACTGTTACTCTATCAGTCGACCAAAACTCCTTTCTAAAGGCCTCCCGGAGATACTCCGAATCGCCAAAACCGCCGGCTAGAATAACCCTCTGTTCTTAGTTAGTACCAACGTGAATTAAGAGTCAGAAGAGGCAACGTTTGTTCAGGCCGTACATTGATGACACCTCTTCCAGCTTCCGCAACAGCGTCTTTCATCTGTTGACGGACCAGGCTGAGAATCTGGTTGACAACAGGATCAAAGATCGATCTTAGGTCATCACTATAGAGATTTAGCAGCGATTTCTCTAAATGGAAAGCATCCGCAGACCTATGGATTATCACCATGCGCTCTTCGTCATCAAAATGCTGCGGATTTGGGTCTTCAACTGTCATGTTTATGGGAAGCTCGAAGATCCTCTCCTCATCTGAATTACCAAAGTCTCTCTTGATGACCTCAAAATTCTTCATGAATTCACTCCCAGGGCCCTTCCTCCTCATAGGTAGACTATCAAATGCGTCACCAAATCTGTCGGACATGAGCTGGTAGAGATTACGGTCCACCGCAGTGGAACCACACTTCCCCCCTAGCGATCCTGCTTCAGCGGCTGTCCCGATATTGATCTTATCACCTGGCTTGAGAACCTACCGATTCCCGTGCAAAGCTCCTCGAATATTAGCTCCGGATGCGTTGCTTCCACTAGGTAGGTCGTAATATCCTGCGATATTAGCTTCTTGTTCGCGAACGAGAATAAAACTTTCAGTCCTCACCACAGTACCACCTCCGCAATCACAGATGAGAACACCATCTCCGGGCTGCGAATGGCAATCAGCTGCAACTCTAAGGCTAAGAACAATGGGAGACTGACCTTTACAGAGCCCCCCATTGAATTGGTCGTGTATTTTTTCAACGCCGCAATAGCTGCAGCCTCTGGTTCGCTGATCAGGAATATATGGTCACCCATCCGACTTCCAAATCCTGCTCGTTGGGCAGCTGTTCGAGTTGCAGATTGCGCTTGGTCAGACCATATCGCAGGAACCGTGAACCAGAACTCCAGTGGTGTGATGCTAAGCGCCTCGTCCGTGATCTGCTTGGCAATAGACTTGAGAATATGCTTGTATACCTCAGATAAATAGTTAGAGACCACGTCCACTGCAGTCTTGCCTTTGGGTAATTTTAGGATACCCGTCCCAGAGGAATCATCCAGGGTAGCATCGTCGTATTTCGTGAGTGGTGTATTCTCATCCAGAAGCAGCTTGGTCCAAGAGTATGCCATCATCCCCGGCTCAACTTGATATCCCCATCGTTGTTTGCTAACCTGTGGATTGTCCACTTTATATGCGATCCGGGATGGTGTTTTTAAAATTTTCTCAGTGTCCCTCGTTGGACCGGGCCATGAGCTGATAAGAACAATGTTGTCTAGATCAGCCTTGCCTTTGGTGCTCACATAGCTGGCGCCTTGAGAATTGTATGTCAGTTTAGTCCCTTTGAGTAAAAAGGAAGGAATTAATCACCGGTATAAGTGGTACCATAGTCAACACCTACTATAATCCTGTGGGATGGCACAAGTCCCAGCGAGCCTAGCCTGTCGATAAGTTCCAATGAAGACATACTTCCAGTGATAGAGTATATTGTAATTGAAGGATATCAGTGAATTGTATGTTTTCCCGGGGAATTGAGTTTGACCGCTGTGCAGTTATATCGGAGTACAAAATCTGGTTATACATGTCTACTAATATCATACATTTCAATGAGGAGAGGCATGCAATGACGGCTAGAGAAAAATGCGGCGTAGGACCCCATGCAGAAATTGGCCATAGCCCGATCTCTAGTGTCTTAGATAGGGTGCCACTTCCACTCTTAGAAGGATTCTGGCCCCTGCTGCTCCATTTTCTCCAACCCATGCATCCAATTACCTCCGCATGTCAGCTAAGTATATTTTATTCCCGCACGTACATTTTCATCGGGGATCTCCGTACCAGTCACTACTGAGCTGTGTGCGTCCCAAAATAGACATCCCGTGGTTAATTGTAGTTGGCTATTGCCCACCCATCTTGGATTTGGGATGGTCAGGGCTGCTGAGGTGGTTCACCTAAGAACTAGCCGGCAAATGCTTGGTTCCACAGCCTCGTTGTTTAGTTATCCCAATTAATTTCTAATACCTTGCTGGACAAATGGCTCCTCTCCTTGCCTTAAATGCGGCTTTTTTTTTTCTCATAATTCGGCTTTAGTATGAGTGTTTATATATTGATTGTTTCCCTATACTACTGAAGCACAGAGTCTACTTGATATGATTGATAAAAATGAACCAAGGTGCTACTACCCAGACTGACCCTAAGCGCTATGAACCAGTGAGAAAAGTCCCCATAACTCATATTTCTCGCTGACTATTAACGATTTCAATGGAAAAGGAGATGGCCTCCAGTGGTGGTAATTCATCTCACAGAAGGCTAAGGGAAACTAGGCGTTCCAGTACGAGTGGCCAAAGCTTTTCAGTGAGTTCTATCTTGAATAACTTTATTGCCCTATTCATACCTGTGAGAACACCCGAGCTCTTGAGTTACCGTTTTGATTACTGAGCCTACCACAGCGTCAAACAGCCTCTCAAAGTTCCGGCTCTCCATCGCACCCTGCGCCAGCTTCCATAGGAAGCCGTATACCTGCGCGGATAGAAAATTCGACCAAAGATCGGAATGTCCTAGCTCCCGCACCAGTTGAGAGTAACACAGGCCACAATGTCCAGACTGGCGAAATAGGTCTCATTTCGCCAAGTAAGCAACAATTTCTTCAGATTATGGAAGGAAAGAATGCAGAGATCCAGAACTTGCAAGTGGAACATGCTCAAACAGTGCAGCAATTCGTCACGCATTCCAAGAATATCCAGCAAAGGGATGTATGCATTGCGCAACTGGTACAAGAGAACAAAAATCTCGAAAGGAATCTCAATAAATTGAACGGCGAGTGCAACAGGCTGCAATCTATAGCCCTCACTGCACAAGAAGGTGCGCTTCGGGCAATGGAGCAAGGTGGATGGGCTGCAAAGGAAGACAGAGTGGTTCGAGATGAGCTAGTAAAGCTCCAAGAAGGACTACGATTATGGGCGAGGAAATACAGTAGGTCAGCAGTTAATTCTAACATGAAAAGTGTGTCGGCGCGTCAGAAAGATAAGGTTGTCGAAGAACTGAAAGAATATTGCGTCCAAACAAACTGGTATTCATTGCTGAAGCGAATGCCAATATCCTCGAACAAAGTCCCTCCTATTTTTGTTCAAGCGCTCCTTACCAAAGACATCTTCCAAAATATTTTTGCTGATCCGTTTTTCGCCTTCCCTGAGACCTTTGATGATCCAGAATTACCTAATCGGAATGAGATGCGGCTTCTATATCATACTATGACACGGTGTAAGTCTCCAGTGGTAAGAAAAGGCTCCCAAGTGGCTAATTAGTTATAGTAAACAACGAAGAGGCGCAAACATGGCGGTCACAGATAATACGAGTCCTATCCGCATGTCCATCAGGTGGTAAAGGGCTATCAATACCCGATAGGCTACAGAGGATGGCTAGTTCCCATGCTGAAGAGATAATCAACGGCTCCGTTCATATCTTTCTTCGTGAGCCTGAGAGTGAAACAGAAGTGATAAAGCGGAATATCGACTTATGCAACCTCTATCATCAAGCTGGCGAGCTAGCGTGGTCCTTGTGGGCTCAGCGGACTGTTATTGTATCCCATGGCCAGCAGAGCTTACACGAGTTCAGCTCATCCTCCTCGCTGATGGCGGCCCATCGACTACATCACCTTGATGAAGATGACAAGAGGCTTGACGGCAGGAAGATCCTTTTGTGCACTCAGCCAGCAGTCTTGGCATTCGGTAATGAGCATGGCGAGCACTATGACACGAGCAAGGTTTGGGCTAAAGCGATCGTTTTGATAGAGGGCGACGCGTAGTCACAATTCGAATATAATCACAAGGCCCCTTTGAACTCATGCCCCAACCCTAAATGATAATACCGTAGCCAATAGAGTCCTTTTTAGACAGGTAGCAATTTCAGCTACGCTCCTGCCTCGGCTGAACTTGACCTCCAAATCGTTCAGCATAGCCTCCCGTGGAAGCCCGAATCCACATGAATTGACTATAGTTCGGAAAGAGTACCTCTACGGATGGAGTGTCGTAAGCCGTCGATATTTGACTGCGCCGCATGTATTGACCAACGCCGAAGGAACCGATCTTCAGTGTGACCCTGCGGTTAGCGCATCCTGTAATATCATGATTTTATTGTGGTGGCCGGTTGCGTGCTACCAGCTTGCTAAACCCGTTTTACAGTGTTTGGCCAAAAATCATACCCCGATCGCTCCAGCCGCCGGGGTGGGTATATCGTGCGGAGGCGGGAAGGGTTGGCCCGAACCTAGTTAGAGATCCTCGTGTAATTCCAATGGTATCTTTGTTGAGTGTCTGCGCCGCCTCCTCCCCTTCCCCCACCTCCCAGAAAAGGAAAAAGAGCCCCAGCTATAGTAAATACTGTGACCTTACAACTTGCAACATTAACATCCTTGGAGACCTAGTAGAAACAAAGAATTTTTAACATTGATGATAAATCAGACAATTGTTCTAGCCCCAATGAAGTCGCCCTTCGTGAAGGAAGCATGGGAGATCGTGAATGAGATCCCTTGATAATGGAGGAATCACAGAGGAGAAACAAGCAGAATTGAATGCCAACTTTATAAAAATCTATGATAACCTACGATCTCTAGCCGGGTGATCTATTTAGCATGTTGCCGGAAATTTATACGACTTAGATACTCGGTTTATCTTTGAGCTGATTCAAAATGCCGAGGATAATCGTTATGACTCAGTGTTAAGTCGTAACGAGTTCATATATCAACTTCACGTTACATGATGACCGACTTATCGTTGATTGGAACGAGGATGGCTTCAATGAGCAAGATATCCGCGCCATCCGCAGCATCCATAACAGCAGCAAACCTCTGAATGGCGGCTATATAGGCCGTCAAGGAATCGGGTTCAAGCTTTTTTTCAAGGTTGCTCAAGGGTTCTTAGCCAATCTGGACCGTTTTGCTTTTCTTTGCAGCACTGCCGCAATGAGAACGGGCTAGACATGATGACTCCGTCGAATCAAGAACATGAAGTTATCTCCGATGAAGTGAGGATGAGAAACACGCTTTTTTTATACATTCCGAGCATTTTGATGTACGAGCCATGGAGCTCACTGAAATATTAGACACACTCTTCTATTCCTTCGGAAGTTCCACAAGATTATAGTAAACGTGAGACCATCCGAGAAATCGACTTTTTCATATGCTTCATACGAGTTCTGTCGAAGTGCAACAGAGGCTTCAACGACGCTTGTCTAAATGACAAAATGACCAATAGTTAAGAAAAAGTCAAGAACATCATTATCTGCAAGACCACAGTTTCTGACCTACCCGAGCATTCCAGTCGCCAGGGGCAAAATGATGCAGAAATAATCCTCACTTTCCCAATCAATGCATCTTTAAAGCCAATCAAAGAGCCCCAATATGTCTATTCTTTTCTACCAATGCATCGAGATGGTTTCAATGTAAGCTAGTCCCATCCTGTTGACCTTCGTTTTTTTTTTTTTTTTTTTTTTTGTTCTGTATTAACTACCAAACAGTTTCTAACTCAGTCAGATTTCATCACACAGTCAAGTCGCCAAGGAATCCATCACTGTCCGAGAAATTACGCCATTCGCAATGGCATCTGCTATTTGTTTGTTGAGGCAGTGCACTATATCTGTCACCAATGGTCACTACTGTACGAATGGCTACAGTACCTTGCCAGCCTTCATATTACGGACCCATTTTGGAGCGATGTTAGGGGGACAAGATTTGACAGACTCAAAAGCAGCCAAATCCTGCTGATATGGAAGGATGATCTTAAGTATCTGGAATCATTGCAGCATCTTTCTAGCCGACATTGTGCTCACCGTGCTCAGTCATTGTTTGATGATTTGGAACATGAGGTTTACCTATCACGCCACTACAATTTGTCACAGCATACAGATGCCCTGATAGAATTGGGCGTGAGAAGTCATCCTTACGTGAGCATGCTCGACCGCTTAGACTCGTATCTCCAGGGGACAAACCGCGATTACTTGATTCGGCATTAAGTGACGATTGGCATACAAAAGTGGCAAATCTTCTGGTGCGAGCCTTAAAAGCTCATTCCAAGAGCTCCTAGGTTGCGCGGCGTATCAAGAATGTGCCCCTTATTCCAGTCTCTAATGAATCACGCTTGAAAAATTCGGCCTCGAGAACATATTTTCACAGTGATAGCAAAACCTTTGCTATCCCGGGGAATTTGAAGTTGAAAATAGTCCACCCCAAAGCGCTGGGGAACCCATCCAGGAGAGCTCTTTTTGGCACACTGGGAGTGACATACTGCGTTCTCCCACACGCCATTGAGTTCATTTGGAAACAGTGCAACCAACCCATAGGGTGAACTTACAAAATTTGATATTCCGTTTTTGTTATCTCTTCTGAGCTTTGGGGGATGAAGTGTTACTAGGTAACCGAATATATATTGTGGATCAACATGAAAGGCCCGTATATCGCGCACGTGTGCCATACTCTGTGGATATTATAGTGGATGACTTGTACTTCCAAACGTCTGAAAGATGTGGGACCAAGAAGCTATCACGGAAGCTTGGGAGTGATGGTTGGCCCACAGATATGCTGTTTATTTATAAAACCTACCCTGATGCTATCTCGACGGAGGCAAAAAGCAACGGCTTGTCATGGGAAGAATGGCTAGAAAGAAGGGCGTCGGTGCGCTACATCCCAAGGTTGAAAAGATCGACGCACTGATGAGCTTTCAACCTTGTTCCAGAACGTTGTAATCAACCATCCACTTACACTGGTTGACATTTTGCAAACCTACTGGCGTAACTACCGAGAGCAAATCACGCCCCAGATTATTGAAACCATTAAGCATACGGATGTTCCATGCCAAAATACCGATGCGTTGGTATCCTTTGAAAAATCTTACTTTCCCTCCAAGGAATTGAAAAATATATGCTCCGGGCATCCATTGCGGACTCGTTGACCTTTTTATAGAACCACTTCCTGGGTTGGCCATTGAGACCACCGATGGATGGGAATTTCTCGCTGAATTCGAGGTTGGTTTGAGTCCTGGTATAGTTCTCATGGAGCAGGTGCTCTATTTTCTCAAAATTATATCTCTCCTGGATCAGATGCAGAATGGTTTCTTTGCGATATACCGAGACTTCTCAATCCAATTCTATGACAGAGATTCGAGCCAAGTGTGGTGAGTTACACACTTTAGTGTGAGCCAGGTTTTGAAACTTAATTAAAATAGTGATCTCTTCCGCATTTGGGAAACAGTCTATATTTCAGCCACAGAAACAAGGCCTGCGCGAATAGCATCACATCAGCAGTGCATGTGGAGAGGAAATCACTGTCTGCGTGGTAGGTATCCCCTTGCAATGTATCAAGAATATTCAAATGACCCAATATGGTGCATTTGTTCAAAAAATGCTTTGTGCTTTTGACGCATCCGTTACGACATATCTTGAAGAGCTTCAATAACGCAAGAGATCCTGAGATGTGCTGCTAGAAGATCTGCATTCCATATATAGTGAACTCTCAGAAAAGCTACTAGGAGACGCTATTACAACTTATACATGGTAACCAAGTCATATTGAGCATGGTCGAACAGTATTGACAAATGCTTCTAACAAATTGATCAACAAGGAGAAATTGGTCTACATACCGATAAGGCGATCACTGGCTTCACCAGACCAGTGTGTTTGGGCTGCGATTTCGAAAATCGGTGGACAATGTCAATTAGTGCCACGTACACTAGGTTTGAAGGGCTTTTCCGAGGTATCCTCAACGTACATATTCATACCATCACGACTTATATCAACCAACTTCGAATCCTCGTGTCCGACCAGCCCGACAACATTACCGCCATCAAAGCCTTTATCCACAGCATGGGTCAGCTACGACCGTCACCTGAAAATTTGCATGGGGTTCAAGAACTGAGATTCTTACCCATTGAAAAGGCTGATGGAAGTAAAATGCTCGCGAAGCTAACCGATGCATTCTTTATCGCCGACCGGATTGGGTATCAAGCCGCGTTCCATGGCAAAGTTTCTATGCTAGATTTTTCTTTAGAAGGAGTTTATAGGCTGCATCGACTGTTAGAGTTGCTGCCTTTGGGAGACTGCTACCTGCCAGCTGCTGTTCAGGAGAGAACGATCGTACTTTTTCCCGCACCTGAGCCATCCTCAAGTCTAAACCGCACATTCCGAAAAAAGGTCGGCATCTGTATCGGTAAGCCAATCTCGATTTTCTTGCTATAAAGCTACTAGCTGAGATATAAAATGTGCTGTGCATTACGATGCAGGTAGGCTTTGAAGCGACAGTGCTAGCATCTGAAGACGCCTGCAAGGTATCATTATACATGAAAGTGACGACTTCAAGAAAACAGTCATATTATCGCACAATGGCCTCCTGGTTACTGCAGAGACCGATAAAGGGTTAATTTGCATTGATCACAGCAATGATAGAATTAGGATATATGTTCCTCGAGATCTGCGGCGACGACAATGATGCTACTCAACACAGCTCCCAAGGCACTAGTTTCCTTTCTGAGGATTGAGAGTAAAACAGAAACTGAGTTCTTTCAATTGATTTGTTTCCTACAAGAAGATGTTATTGATAACGTACTAGATGACAACGAAATCAGCAGAATTTCATATGCGGACACCGATGACCCTGACTTTCCGACATAGGCGACTGAGGAAAGCAGCTTGGATGGAGACATTCTTAATGTTCATGGCGCTTCATCTAACGGGAATAGTCAAAATTCTGAAACAGGCATCCGCAAGGATCAATGGATAGCCTAGGTACGGCGAGTCGAAATGCGTCCTCTACAGTGCAACGCCCAAAATATGAACACGAATCTTCTTTGTCAACATATTAGCAAACAGCTTCTTTTTCGAGAGTTCCTGTTTTACCTAGCTTTCATGAACCATCTTCAGATACGACCGCTATGCCTACGTCCTACGACCAGCAATACGTCCGATTATTGAACCATGTCATCATGCTGGCAGGTCGGACAGCCTTTTCTCAGAATTCGGATAGTGCATCCACTGCCAATTGTGTTAATGGGAGTTCTACACAAGGTCTTGCATCAAAAACAAACATTTGTTCAGAAAGCCAATTAGCACATGATATCAAGATTGAGCCAGCAGGAGAGCTATATATTTGCCCCCCTTCGCCTTTCTTTTTCTCTCACTTTTTTCTTTTCTTTTCTTTTCATTTTTTCGTTTTCAACTCAAGTAATTATACAGATAGGTTTTATGTGATCAGTGCAAAAGCTGACGCCGGCGATGACAGGCATTCAAACTCCTTTGACAGCATGGCCTACCAGGCTTTACCCGGCAAAATTAGCAAATGTGCGTAAAGTGATTAATGTTCATCCCGAGTACCTCGATCTTGAACCATAGAGTGGGTTTGAAACAGCGGACCTAGTCTACAAAGACGTAGACTCAGTGCCCACTAAAATGCTTATCGATGCTGGATATATCACAAACAGGCTGGGAGAGAGCCACCCCAGCGTACTTTACTAAAGTCAAGACGATAGTCGGAACATATAAAATTCCATTCTATATGAGTAAGGTCAATACAAACAGGTGAGTTCATTAGTCCCTTTTACATTTTGTGTCATGCATACTTGTCACGGGCTCGGACCAGTAGATACTAATGAAATGATATTCCTATCTAACCAGTGTAGCCATTGACTAGAATATCGAATCTGGAGAAGAAAAGAGAAGAGGCAAATCTATTTACATGAAGAAGTCCTATATGTTTGTGTGTGGTCTCGCTAAGCAGCTTGTTTACCTTGATTGCTTCCATGACATTGTTTGCCGTGTTGATGATGTTTGCTGATGAAGGCGCTGAGCTGAGCCGTTACATAACCCCCCTCCTTAGGTGGAGTCTGTCCCCAGACTCTATGCAGACAAGTTATCATCAGGGTGGTCCTCAACCCCATCAACTCCTTCTTCCCAGGCCTTGAGCCATTCCTGCAGTCGACGTGGCGGGCCTGGACGATCAGGGTATCTCTGATGGTAGTCACGTATTCGATGCGGGGATCCCTTGAAGTTGGTAGCTGGATACCAAGTTCGATCCTCATCAAATCCTATCCACTTCACCTGATACTGCAACCGACGTCGATATAGACGTGAAGCAAGCACCTCTTCCACTTCCCATTCCTGTCCATCGGCCACCACAATTGGTTCCGGAGGCTCGGTCACCTGTCCGGGCAAGGGGTCATTTGCTGCCCGCCGTAGCTTGTCAGGTGAGAACACGGGATGTATCTTCATTGAGTCAGGGAGCTTTAATCGGTAGGAGTTACCCACTCGTTCTAATATTGGGAAGGGCCCAGCCATCTGGCTATCAAGCTTCTTGTTCGGTCGGTCTGTTTGATAGTGACGAAGGGAGAGCCACACCTTATCACCCACATCAAAGTTAACAGGGCGACGTTGGCGGTCTGCTTGCTTCTTCTGTTGGTCCTGAGCTTGTTTAATCTGACTGCCCACGGCCATCCATGTCTTCTCCATCCTCTTGACAGCTTCCTGGGCTCGTTGTCGGCTAACCTTCTCATCCCGGGGGAGGCTTCCACCGACCGGGTTCCAGTCAAATGAAGTTCGAGGCTCATATCCACAGTCAATGAGGAATGGGGAGGCACCTGTAGATTCTGAAGGTAGTGCAGCCGCGGCGAAGTCAATCAAGGGTAGTAGTTCAGACCAGTTATCTTGGTAGCGGTTGATGAAGGGTCGCAGACGGTTGACGATGTGCTGATTCACAATCTCAGTCTGTCCATCAGTTTGAGCATGATAGGCTGTGGACAGCTTCAGCCTCACTCCAAGAATCCTACAAAACTCATTCCAGAATGCCGACACAAATTGGGGTCCACGGTCAGATACAATAGTTGATGGAGGCCCTCTATGGCGGTAAATGTGCTCAATGAACATTCGTGCGACATCTTCAGAGGTGGCAGTCTTTTTGCAAGGAATACTGATGGGTCTCTTGCTAAATCGATCTACAATCACTAGTGCGGCATCATATCCTCTCTTGTCAGCTGGGAAGGAGCGAAAATCCATAGATATATGCTGCCAGGGCCGCTCTGCGATGGGCAAGGGTTGGAGCAGTCCAGGAGCATGATCACGAGGATTCTCAGCTCTCCGGCACTTTGAGCAATTCCGTACATATCTCTCCACATCTTGTCTCCAGGTTGGCCAATAGTATCGTGTTTTGATGAGCTGTTGGGTTTTTGTTCTTCCTGGGTGTGCAGTTGATACTTGTGTATGCACTTCATCAAGCAGACGGGTGCGGAGTTCAGGGTTATCATCAGGAACAAACAGTCGGTTTCCTTTCAGTAGTAGACCATCTTGCAGATTCCAATCATCCTTTCCTGCCCGAGCTCTCTCACGATGTTCCTCTGCTGTGGTAGAGTTCCGGTTTGCACTGAGCACTCGGTCCACAACTTGTAGAGTGGGCTCAAGCGCATTGATAGCATGGGCTTCAGCAAATTCGTTGACCTGGTTGGTTTCCATTCGCTGTTCAATGGATTCTGGTTTTAACAAAATCTGTTGGCGATAATCATCCTTTTTCTGCACTTCCGTGCTGGGTCGACTTAGGGCATCAGCCAAGGTATTCTCTCGGCCGGGACGGTAGCGGATTAGGAAGTAAAACCGGGAAAGGAACTCAGCCCACCGGGCTTGTCGTGCATTCAACTTCTTAGTAGTCATGAAGTATTCCAGGGCGCGATGGTCAGTATATATGTTGAAACGCTCTCGGAGTTGCAGTCCTTCTAGCTCAGCTCGCCACTCCTGCAATGCACGAATGATGGCCAGCATCTCCTTATCATGGATCTCATAGTTGCGCTCCGCGTCGGACATGTTCTTGGAATAGTAAGCCACTGGGTGCCAGAGATCTCCGTGCTTCTGGGAGAGTATCCCAGCTACCACCCCATCTGATGCGTCAGTTTCTAACTTCGTTTCCAGTTCAGGATGATAATGTCGCAGTATTGGGGCATCAGTTAATCGTCTCTTCAGCTCCTCAAAGGCCTCCTGGTGCTGCCTAGTCCAGGTGAAAGGCACGTCCCTCCTTGTTAGGTGATTTAGTGGCTTTGCAACACGGCTATAGTCCTTGATGAATCTTCGGTAAAAGTTGCAGAACCCAAGGAATGACTGTATACCTCGGACAGTGTTTGGCACAGCCCAATTGCAGATCACCGCTATCTTCTCTGGGTCGACTTCAATTCCATCAGTCGTCAGAATGAATCCAAGATACTTTGTCCGAGTGACATGAAATTCGCACTTCTTGATGCTAGCTTGGAGCCCCGCAGCACGCAACCGTTCAAGCACCTTCTTGACATGAAGTTCATGCTCATTGGTGTTCTTTGAATAGATAAGCAAGTCATCCACGAATGCTGTTACAAAGTCATCCAAATAGTCCATGAGGGTATCATTGATGAAGCGCTGGAATACTGCCGGTCCATTGGTGAGTCCAAAGGGAACCACATGGTATTTGTATGTCCCATATCGTGTCCGGAAGGTAGTCAGGTCCTCTGACATCGGGTCAAGCCGAATTCGGTGAAATCCTTGTCGTATATCTAATTTTGTGAAGATCTTCGCACCACTGATTCTCTCCATCAATTCATCGACCAGGGGTATGGGGTAGCGATCTTTCCGTGTGATGGCATTCAACTTCCGATAGTCCACACAGAATCGCAAGCCACCCCCAGGCTTCCTGGCCATCAGAATGGGAGATGCGAAAGGTGCGGCACTAGGTCCAATGAACCCCTTATTGAGGTTGTCCACAATATAGTCTCGTGCAGCTTCTAGTTCCTCTGCAGTCTGCTTGTATAAAGGACTATAGCCCACTTCGCTTTCTGCAGTCTTCCCATCTTCGAGCTTGATTTGGTAATCATTCGTCCGTCGGGGGGGCAGCTCGTCGGAAGCTGCCTTGGAGAAGACATCCGCATATTCCTGATACTGTTTGGGTAGTAGTTTCTGCACTAGTTCTTGCTCATAGTGATCTTCTTTCTGGCGATCCTTCTCGCGTTTCTCTTCAATGATACGGTCAATTTCAGACAAGCTGGCAACGAAGACTTCAACATCCTTCTTTTTCAGGTGCCGTCGGAATGGTACAGCTCCAATCGCTGCAATATCAATTTGGACTGCCTGATGAGATGTCGTCGCCCTTCGTGATTTCTGGTTGGCTATGACTAATCCAGAGATGTTTTCTGATTCTGCTGATTGGTCAGTTAGAAGTGACTGGCTCCTGAGAGCACGTGACATCTTCGCCATATTTATTCGCCGGTCTGATTCCTCCTTCCGGGGAGCTCGGTATCGCTCCCTTCGTTCCTCCTTTTCGATCCGTTGATCACGTCGCTCCATATCGGCTTGGTGTACGGGATCAGGCTCAGAACGCTGAAGGATCTCTTTCGGAACCTCCAAGTACTGATTGCGCAAGATGTCATCCAGGTAGTTCCGCTGTTCAGGCCAGACCAACTTCCGGTGTCGTACATTCAGCCAGACATCATGATAGCCAAACCATTTCTGCCCCACAATTATATCATGCTGTCCCAGGTCAGCGATCAAGAAGGGTTGGTTCAAGAGTCTCCGTCCGCCAATGATGAGGTGACAGATAATAGCATGGGTAATTGGTGATCCCTCCCGACCATCATACCCTTTTGTCTTAATGGTCTTGCTAAGCCGTCGTGTGGGA